TGGCTGGAGCCCAATCTGAGGCCCAGCTGCTGCCTCACGGATGAACTGGGCTCTGCCCACAGGGTTGGCTGCCACACCTATCTCGTCTTTTTTGTCCTTCATACAACTAAAGTGCCTTTGCCCAGAAGGAGGTGCCAGCACTCACTGCTTGCTACCTTTCCTCCCCCGAGTGAACTCACCCATCCCATCTGGAAAACTCAACGACCAGTTGAACACAGGTGACAGTTCCAGATGTGCATAGTCTGGGTCAATTTTATTCTTCCTTTTTGTGGCTTTCTGAAAGACAGCCTGAGTTACATACAGTAGTAAAGTCATTTGCAAAGTTCTTTCCTCTACCTCTAACAATCCCTTCAGGGCAAGTAGATTTCCATTAATCATTGATAGACTCAGGGGAAAACAAAGTGATCAACGTTGTACTATATTTCCACTACCACTACCCTCTTCAGAAAAACTGTTTCAGCATTCTATTAGGCAAGTGATATGTCCCTCATATAGAAGCACTTTATACCTAGAGCCACAATCACCATGCTTTAGAAATCATTGGCAGTATTTAAACTGCCAAGAAAAATCTGCCTAGAACAACTGGAACAAGGTTGAGAAACCTTAGCACTATGGACACTTTGGGCTGGAAAGTTCTTTGTGGTGAGTGGGGCCTGACCTGTATATTGCTGGGTGTTTAGTGGTATCCCTGACCTCTACCCGTGGATAGCAGTAGTAACCCCCAGTTATGACAACCAAAAATGTCTCCAGACATTATCAAATGTCCTCTGTGGGGAGGGAAGCAAAATCTCCCCTGGCTTAGAACTACTGGAACAAACCGATTTAGCTGTGGTATTATGAAAGTGAGAGCTTAGCTGGCTCCACCCCGTGTGCCTACCCTTAATACTTTAGACTTAAAAATGCATGAATGTTTTCTAAAGCAAATCATTCAAGAGGCCTGATTCAGCAGACAGACTAGCTGTTCGGGCCTATTAAACAAATCATCTCTTTTTGGCCTAAGTCTCCAAATCCTAAAGTTTCATGGTTATGAGATTTGCTATGCAATCAAGGTCTTTAGTGAAAATTAAGTTGTAAGTGCAGAAAATGTGACATTGAACTTTATGCTTAAGAAACAGGAGTGGCAATATGAAGGGTTGGGCCTCTCTTACGGTATGACAGTAATTTGTTGCTTCTTTGAGGTCATTCCTTACAACCCAAAGAACCTTTTTCGGTGTATTCTTTTTGGAACCAAACCATGTTTACATAGCTTTGAAATATTCTGTGGCTGCCAACAATCCTCAAGACAATAACTGAAATGGCCGGTTGGTATTTAATAGACATTTTTTCTAATGTTATGAGTAAAGAAAGGTTGTCCAGCATGTCACTTCTTCATCTTATGAATTATTTTCGTTGTTACAATTATGATCTTGTGGCAGTTTTATGCCTAACAGTGAGATAGAAAAGAGGAAAAGAGGGCTGGCAGCATAGCTCATGATGTTACACACCAAGGTCAAGGGTTTGGATCCCCGAACCAGCCAGAGGCCAAATACAAAAAAGATCTTATGAATTATTTTCGTTGTTACAATTATGATCTTGTGGCAGTTTTATGCCTAACAGTGAAATAGAAAAGAGGAAAAGAGGGCTGGCAGCATAGCTCATGATGTTACACACCAAGGTCAAGGGTTTGGATCCCCGAACCGGCCAGAGGCCAAATACAAAAAAGGAAACAGGAAGAGAATTGCATCTGTGGTTCCCATCACAAGCCAATGTCAGATTATGACCCTGCAAATCAGAATTTGACTATGGTCAGATACTTCATTAGAAAACAGAAAATCAAAGACTAAAAGCAACAGGAACCATGAAAAAAATCACCATTTGCCAAAACCAGTATTTGTCTGGATCAAGCAAGTTTATGCTAACACACTGAACAGTGATAGAGAAAATTTACCTTGTAAAAATTCATCTAGTTAAAAAGTATTTACATTTTAATTACCTTGATCTGAACTCCTCCCTCCAAAAAAAATCTACATTATGAAATTCTCAGTGGCCTTATCACAATAGAGGAGAGAAATTTTGAATTGACCTGTTTTCTGTGTTCCCTGCTTTATGGGAGAACTGGGTAATACATTCCTGAGTAATCCTTTCAAAACGGCCTACTTGACTGCTTAAGGAGCTTTCCAGTTCTGCAGTCCCATAAAATGACCTTAATAGCCAATTCATGGCTCACTGGAAGTACTGACCAGACTTCAACAATGTCGCACTTTTTTAAGAGAACGTCACCAATCTCCTGATTGCAGGATAGCACTGTGTTCTAACCCCCATGTGCCTCCCCCATCCAGCCACAACCCACCCCACCCCAGAGGAAAAGCCTCCCCACAAAGCAAAGGCAGCCCCGTGCCATGATAATAAGCCCACACTGACTCTGGCAATAGTTTTTGTGGTCTCTCTCAAGAAAAGAAGAGGTCATTGCACTAAAGCAAACATTTTTAGATCATTGCTTTATTTCACTATTGTTCAACAACAAAGTTCATTCCTCTCGAGGTGGATCTTGAATTGTTCCTTGTGTTCTCTTCCTCGTTCTGAATAAAAAAGGTAATGAAGAAAAAGCCTGTACTTTTGGAAACCTAGAATCTGATTTACGCTGATAAGCTTTTGACTGCAATTTCGTGTTACAATATTTCCTGCTGGCATCTTGGTGGTCACACGGAGCTCCCCACCCTCTAGTGAAGATGGCTGTCCACAGCTACCACCGTTGAAACCAAAAGTAAGTGTTGAAAAATGCACCTTTTACAATAAAAAAGTAGAAACCAATTCAATATCCTTTTTTTTTTTTTTTACGAATATAAAGTTTCTTGTAAATATGTACAGTCTTTTGAGCTAGTTCTATATAGCAGGAAGCATTTCACGAATGAGACACACAATATACACTTTCAGGGCTCAAGAAGCCCTTTTCTCATGGAGATCCTAAATGAAATGCCAAGACTGAAAGACCAATTTTCTGTGACCTTTCCAAATACTTGTGGACCAAGAGACAAAAAACTCCAGCAAACATTCAGTCAGATCTGCCCTGGGGAAGGGAAGAGATGGAGTCTGACCCCAGAGACCCAAGCAACACAGAACACAACAGCAGGACACTTGCCGGAGGTGCTAAACATGGAGGTTCATGGGCGTTTCAAACAAGAAAGCACTTAGGTTAAGAGACGAGCAGGAAGGAGCCGGGATTGGCCAGGTCGCAATCAGGAAAGGAATCTGAACTGTGGACACATGGGTTGAAAACACGGTCATGTTCACCTTCAGTGGTGGAAACAGGTCTACCTTTCAGCCTACTTAAGATGTGCCTTGGTTGTTGAGGCATGCCTAAGAGTCATGGAGAATCCAAAGCAAGATATGCCTTGTGGGAGATTAAAGGCAGAAATAAGGCCGCTAGTTAGCTTGCCAACTGCAAAGCCTCTAGGTTGGTTCTATACCGGTTGCCAGGAACTTCGTATTCTACTAGAGGGAAGAGAGAAACAGTGTAAGCCGCACTGCACCTAAGGAGGGCTTCCCAACCCCGGCAGAGTTGGAAGAGTTGAGCTGCGGCTTCTTTCTCAAACTTCCTGGTCTTAGGTCTAGCCCTAGGGAAAGGCTCATTTGGGAAGTCACAGTTTCATGGGGTAGAACCTTGCTGGATTTTGTGTGAACACAGAGTCATCCGTGAGGGAGTTGGCAGGGAAGCGTGGAGGTCAGAGGGGATGATGAGTGTGAGGTGGTGGTTTGCTGAAATCCTTCTCTGGTCGTAAGGCTTGAGCGTTTTGTTTTTGTTTGTTCAGTGCTACAGACTGCAGCTTGTTGTGGCCAGGTAGCTGGCAAATCGTCAGAGGGTCTCAATTCGGCAGGAGCTATGGGATGGTATTAATACATTGGCAGAGCAACCCAAGGGGTCAGCCAGGTTGGGGGGCAGCACATGCAGTGAACCGCCATGCAGAGTTCCCGGATGGGTCTCTTCCCCATCCCAGAGCAGGGAACACCACGCCATCACAGACAGGAGGTGGGTGCCTTCGGTTCCCTCCCCAGCCCCGAGACCCATTAATGCTGGGCTCAGAGCAAGTCTATTGCATGCTTTCCTGGCCAAAGCTACATGGGAAGCGGGGATAGCAGGCTGGGGAGATGACACTAAGGGGCAGGGAA